ATACTAGATCGAATCATGGCGGGCAGTAATATATTAATATATATATAGATATATGCGATGGTGTTCCATGGAGTTTGCTCTATATATATATATATATATATTATAATATAATAATATATATTATATATAGTATATATATTATTATATATACAGAAGGTGTACAATACACTCCTGTATATATATAATATATGGCCCAAGAACAAATAACTTCTACGGCAGATAGCGTCAGTAGCAATGTGGCGTAAATGCAAACGTTCTCCTATTTTAAATTTTTCAAATTTAGAATAATTTTTGAGCACGCCTAATAAAAATCATTTTTTACCGTGTTCGAATGTATAGTAAGCGTAATGTTAGGGCGAGAGGTTCGCGCTAATTGTCCCACAGATGGCGCTGGTGTACGGAATTCGTTAATAGAAAGTCTGCGTTAATAGATAAAGCGTGAATTGTCTTTGAGTCGATTGCTCAAACAACGCACCATTTCTCCAATAAACACTAGGCGGGTTTAATCCTAACCTGAACCTCTAACCTAAAAATCTAAACGAGTTACGCATCTCTGCGAATGTAAAAAAACGAAATACACACGCGCGCAAAAAAACAAATGCGTAATTAATGCGTTTCGTCTCCGCTAGGTGTCGCCTCGTTTACGTGCGACTGCGCGCCGGGTTTCGACGGGCCGACGTGCGGGAACGACATCGACGACTGCGCCACCGCTCCGTGCCTGAACGACGGCGTTTGCATCGACCACGTCGCCGGATATGAATGCGACTGCGTTCCCGGCTTCACGGGCCCTGACTGCGAAATCAGTGAGTCATCAGTAGCGACACCTGACGGTGGCGGTGGTGTCGGAGGGGTTCAGGGGGAGTAGGGTGGGGTCGGCGTAGTGGTTGTTGGACGGAGTGAGGAGAGGAGCACGTTTGCAATTGTTTTGCCAAGATATGATGTCTTTTGCACTCGTTTGCGGATCAGACTTAGAAATCTATCCGTTTACATATATATATATATATATATATATATATATATATATATATATATATATATATATATATATATATATAGTATATATTGATGTGTGTGTGTGTGTGTGTGTGTGTGTGTGTGTTGTGTGTGTGTGTGTGTGTGTGTGTGTGTGTGTGTGTGTGTGTATGTGCGTGTGTGCGTGCGTGTGTGTGGTGTGTGTGTGTTGTGTGTTGTGTTGTGTGCGGGCGTGTGTGCGTGTGGTTGCGTGCGTGCGTGCGTGCGCTGCGTGCGTGCGTGCGCTGCGTGGCGTGCGTGGCGTGCATGCATGCTATACCTGCTAAATAGAGATTGCAAATTATAATCTAAACAGAAACCGGCGCAACCTTGGGCAACAATCCCCCTTGCATTCAACCAAACAAGACAGTTTAATCATAGTGTCTGAACCTTTTTTATCCTGCAGCGGCGGCATATAGAAACAGAATAAAGAATAATGACATAATTACTATAACTCTCCATTAATCTATCTCACTTTCTTAATCGCCATTATGCCGTCGTCAGTGTGACGCCGCGTATGCTCTTTTATCAACAGCGAGAAAGACCGTGCAAAGACAGCCCATACTATCCGCTAATAGCACTCTATATGGACTTCCGTATGTGGCTGTGGCCCTGGGGGGGGGGCGTGTGAAGAGAAGGGTGCTGTGGTGGGAGGAGGGTTTGTGTGGGAGGAGGGTGGTGTGTGTGGGAGGGTGTGTGTAGGGAGGGTGTGTGTGTGGGGGAGGGTGTGTGTGGGAGGGTGTGTGTGGGGGGGAGGGTTGTGTGCTGGAGGAGGTGTGTGTGGGAAGGGTTTGTTGTGGGGAGAGTGTGTGTGTTGGGGAGAAAGGGTGTGTGTGGGAGGAGGGGTGTGTGTGGGAGGAGGGTGTGTGTAGGGGAGGGTGTGTGTGGGGGAGGGTGTGTGTGGAGGGAGAGGGTGTGTGTGGGAGAGAGTGTTTGTATAGGAGCGGGTGTTTGTTGTGTTGGAGGGGGGAGGGTGTATGTGGGCATGGGGTAAGGTGTGTATGTGCGCCGTGCGCAACAAGTGCATGTCTGTGTGTATAATATGTGTGTGCGTGTGTGTGTGTGTGTGTGTTGTGTGTGTGTGTGTGTGTGTGTGTGTGTGTGTGTGTGTGTGGTGTGTGTTGCGTCCGTACTTACGCGCGTGTGCATGCGTGCGTAAGAGCATCTAAGGTGCATTCCAGTTACAGCACGCGGGCTACTTTTAGAGAGGCTAGCACGAGCGAATACACGCATTAAGCGCTTGCGTCGTAATGCAAGTGAACAGCGGAATAGCTCCTCTCGCAGCATCTTACCTTTCATTTGCCGCCATTCGATAAAGAGAAATGGGGAGAGGGACTCAGAGAGAGAGAGAGAGAGAGAGAAGAGAGAGAGAGAGAGAGAGAGAGAGAGGGAAGAGAGAGAGAGAAGAGAGAGAGAGAAGAGAGAGAGAGAGAGAGAAGAGATATGAGAGAGGTTTTGCTGAGAAACTGAAAACCCCCGCTGTCTAAACGCGGGGAGAAAAGGATATATCTATTCTGATTTATCTTATCTATCTATCTAATCTATGCTAATCTATCTATCTAAATCTATCTATCTATCTAATGCTATTCTATCTATCTATCTATCATGCTATCTATCTATCTATCATATCTATCTATGCTATCTATCTCTCTATTTATTTATCTAAATTTATATATCTATCTATCTATCTATCTATGCTATCTATCTTATTTATCTATCTATTTACTATCTATCTATTCTATTTATTTATCTATGGCTTCGCTAACTTACCTATGGCTATCTATTTATTAATTTATCTATTTCTAGAGAGAGAGAGAGCGCATAGAGTAGAGTTTTTGCTGAGAAACATGAAGAACGCGAGTAAATGGGGGGAAGGGGATCTAATCTATCTTATCTATTTATCTATCTATCGCTACTATCTATCTACTATGCTAATCTATGCTATCTATCTATCTATCTTATCTATCTATCTATACTAATCTATCTTATCTATCTAATCATAACTCTATCTAATCTAATCTATGCTATCCTCGGAATTATTTGTCTATATCTGATCTATCTATCTATCTATCATATCTGTGCTAAGTCTCTCTTCTCTCTCTCGCTCTGCTCTGTCTCTTTCTCGTTTCTCTCTCCTGCTCTCTTATCCTCTCTCGTCTCTCTCTCTCTCTCTCGCTCTCTCTTTCTCTCTCTCTTCAAGTCTCTCCTGCTCTTCTCTCTAATGTCTCTCTCTTCTCGGCACGCTCTCTCTCTCGGCTCGCATCATCCTGCTCTCTGCTCTCACTGCTCTCTCTCTCATCTCTTACTCTCTCATCTCTGCTCTCTCTCTCTGCTCTTTCCCCTCTCGCTCCTCAGCTCTCACGTCTCTCATCTCTCTCCCCCCCCCCCCTCTCGTCTCTCAAGTGAGTAAAAGATCTCTCTCATCTCTCTCTCTCGCTCTCCCTCCTCTTGCCGCACGCATAACGCATAGAAACAGATACACGGCACCTGCCATTTGACATACAATAGATTAGTACGCTGCCCTTTGTCTGGCTAAATGCCACGGTATATAAGGCATATATTGTAATCTTTCATGTCCATGGCATTCGCTACGTCTTTTGTAGCCCTGAGTGTTCTCTCGTGACGATCTCATGCGGTATGGCAACAGAATGTATACAGTCATAGTGCACAGATTGTAGTATAATTATGTCGTCCAGTCACCCACGCAGTTCTTTATTTATTATGAGCTATCCGGCGTGCGTGGGCGCAGGTGCGGTGCGTGCGTGCGTTCGCTCCATTCTATCTCTGCCTCTCAATACTGTGGTGTGTATATGTATATACGTATAGATGTACAAAGTTGAGACTACGTGTCCACGTGGGGCCAACGTGTAGGATCACGATTAATCGGTAATCTTAGAGTGGAAGCACAGCAATGCGTGAAAGCAAATCTGTCACTATTATCGCAACCGTACGCACGCACGCACGCACGCAGCAGCACGCGACGCACGCACAGCACGGCACGCAACGCACGCACGCACGAACGAACGAACACACACACACACACACACACACACACACACACACATCTACGACAACAAAATTGAAATAGTCACCTGCAATTATACTCAGCTTCCGCTTCCATTTGGAAAAATTAAAAAAACGCGGCAGAGAGAGAGACAGACAGACAAATCTGATTATGATAACACTCAGTCACGCAGACATCGGTAGAAGTGGCGTGTGGATTAAACTGTAAGTCGATCACCTCGAACACGTACAAGGCCGCTAGAACGGATGCTCTACCTAATGCGTCTGCATCCCATTCTGCCGCTCGCGTTGCTCGAATCTGAAGCTAAAAACCCGCGTGTTTTTTGAGTGCCGGTTGTTTAACTAAGTGTAAGTTTTTTTTCTCTGTGCGTGCGTGCGTGAGCTTCTGTGCGTGCGTGTGCGTCGCTGCGGGCGTGTGCGTCGCTGCGTGCGTGTGCGTCGGTGCGTGCGTGAGCGTCGGTGCGTGCGTGAGCGTCTGTGCGTGCGTGAGTGTCTGTGCGTGCGTGTGCGTCTGTGCGTGCGTGAGCGTCTGTGCGTGCGTGTGCGTCTGTGCGTGCGTGAGCGTCTGTGCGTGCGTGAAAGTCTGTGCGTGCGTGCGCGTCGGTGCGTGCGTGCCCGGTCGCAGCCTTACCAAATGTAGTGCCGGTGTGCGACGCATCATGGCGCCACCATACCCTGCCGTATTTTTCGCGGGATTATTTGTTGTTTTAAGAGCAAGATAATTACTTATTCGTTAGTAATTATCAATCTACCAATAAATAATTACAAACTAGTTAATTAGATATATTCCCCTGCCTATGTTAAGTTCCGCTTTTAGGCCACGATAATCTACTTAATATTTATAATATTTATACACAATTACGTATTTAATAATCAATGATTAATTAACCTTGTTAATTGACTAATTAGTTAATTGCGTCGGTAATGATCACCGGTTGCTAACGATCATGCTGTATGTGTGTGTGTGTGTTGCAGACATCAATGAGTGCGATCCGAACCCATGCGACAACGACGCCCTCTGTGATGACGGCATTGCAAGCTTCTCCTGCAACTGTCTGCCAGGATTCACTGGTGCTCGCTTCCCGCCCCATTACCTCGCTTATCGGGTGAGGTCCGGGAAATTGTGAAAATGCG